AATGGTATCAATGTGGACTTCACAAGCTTCAAAATCTACCCTCCCCCTACCGCGTCCCAAAACCAGCCCAGTTTATCCCCGCCTCCCTAACCTGTCCTTCCTCCTACCTTCCCTTCCTCCCACCTCAAGCCCCACCCCCGTCACCTACCTACTAACCTCATCCCGCCCCCTTGACCTGTCCGTCCTCCCTGGACTGACCTATCTCCTCCCTACCTCCCCACCTACACTCACCTTTCCTGGCTCCATCCCTGCCTCTTTGACCTGTCTGTCTCCTCTCCACCTATCTTCTCCTCTATCCGCGTCCCCCTCTCTCCCTATTTATTTCAGAATCCACTTCCTCTCCCCCAGTTCTGAAGAAGGGTCTAGGCCCAAAACATCAGCCTTCCTGCTCCTCTGATGCTGCTTGGCCTGCTGTGTTCATTCAGCTCTACACCTTGTTATCAAGGGTGTGATGGCAGCTGATTCACTGAATGTTCACAATCATTAATGGGAGACATGAGTTGGATGCAAATTACAAAGGTAAGATTCAACTTCTGGTGGTGCACTGTGTGGAAGATCAGTGAGAGAGGAGGATTTGGCGTTTGTTGTTTCTGAATGTTCTAAGGAGGTGCACACAATGAGTGGTAGGAAATTCAGAAGATACAGTTATTAGAGCAGTTTGATTCTGTATGCAGGCTTTATGTATGTTGAACAAACATGTCCAAGGCATTTCTTACTTATACAAGACTATATCTACATGCGCTTGAGGCATTGGGAGGGTCCAATAACTGAATAGACCCCCATTTAAATTCAGCAGAAAGACCTTAAATGGTGGTCTTTCCCCACTGTGCCTTAGTGGCAGCTGCGTCAAGCTTTAGTGCATCCTTCAGCATATAGTCCTGGACCTTGGAATGTGACAGTCTGTCGAGGTCAAGTCCTTGCTCTGGAAGACCATCAAGGTTCTCTCAGAAATGTACAGCTTTACTTACATTCTGACAGTTCTTTCATAGCACAGAATTGTCAGAGCAGTTAACTACAATATTCTGACAGACTCTGACATCTGCTGTCAAATCATAAGTACATAAGATATATGTGATGTTCAGGTGCTGGCAGGGTAGAGAGCCAGATGTGGAGGCGATAGGGGGCTAACTAGGAAGAGTGTCAGCTGTGATAGGATGCCAAATGATAGGGGTAATTATGGGGTCAGTTAATAAGTACTCAGGGGTTAGACTATGAACTTAGTAGTCTTGGTTTTCTTGAGTAACTATTTTACTTAATTTCATCAGAATCCTCAAGTCTTCAGTCTAAATGGAGATTTTCAGGGTTCCAGGCATAGAATAAATGCCCAGAAGAAATTTCAATTTGCTGGGCATTTCCTTCAGAACAGTGGATTCCTCAGGATCCTCATCTGCAACTCCCACCAACACTGGGAATAATGACTGACTAGTCATTGAAAAATCAGGCCACTAACTCTGTCCTTCTCTTCACAGATTTTTAAATCACATTTGTTATGGACCAGACCAAACATACTCAAAATATATTAAGATAGCCTTGACCCTAACATTTTTCTTAATTTTAAAGGCAAGTGTAAGGCGGTGTGTTCCGGATGCAATTCGATTGGTCAAACTAGGAGGCTTGAAACAAAACTCACTTTATTCTTACAACATGCAAACAATACAAACAAAAGAAAAAAGAATTGGAATAACAACTGTATTGGAAAACTTAACTATTAAACAGCAACTGTTCCAACATAGCAACATCCCATAAACACAGCCTTGGCATAGCCAAATTCAGTAAAATAGACTGTCTCATGTGCAATTCTTTAATCCAGGAAGAAAGAACATCAAGAGAAAACTCTGAGAAAGCGAGAACTCAAGCATTTTGCTGTTGGAGGAATAGATATACAGCAGCTTCCAAACCCCAATAGCTACTGGAAGTTAAACTAAAATCATGGCTCTGTGGGAGCTTGAATCCATACGGCTTCTATTGTTCTAATGTTTAAAAAAAAACAAGCTGTTTACAGTATTGACTTGGAACAGACCTTTGTCTCAACCTCTCTTCGTAAAAAAGAACCAGGTCAAAATACACCTCTTCAAAGCCACAGTCTGGTCACACATTGTTTGAGTTTTCTCTGTGCAGATTTGCAGCAGTGTTTCCTAGTTTTCAATGGCAAGCACACTCCCACCCACCCGACAAAAAAAGTATGAGACCTTGAGTCCTGCTCCTCTGATGCTGCCTGGCCTGCTGTATTCATCCAGCTCTACACCTTGTTATTCGCAGATTATCCAGCAACGGCAGTTCCTACTATCTCTGCATAAAAGCAAGTCTTCATTTAGGAAGGGGGGTAAATTTCTCAATCTCTGTAAGTGTTGTGGTGAATGTTGCACAAGTGTGTACTGATGTTCTATTCATTTGAAAGCTGGAAAAATGTCGGCAATATTCCAGCAGCATCCATGCACAGAGAGTGAGACTGGGCAGTTATGTTGCGATGTCACTGGACTCGTAATAAATCTGGTAACTCAAAACTGGGGTCACGTGTTTGAATCACCACGCCTGATGCTGACATTTGAATTCAATAAAGTTCTGGAATTGAGAAAGCCAAAATATCAATGGTCATAAAAACCCAACCGGTTCGCTGGTGACCTCTACGCCATGAAATCTGCCAACTTCACCTGGTCTGACCTACATGTGACACAGCCCACGCAGGAAAGTGGTTGACGCCTAACTACGCGCTGAAATGGCCCTAACAAAACACTCCGATGAAGCGGTGCAGGAAATGGGCATGGTGGTGAAGGCCGTCCCAGGCGGCAACATCCTCATTGCCACGAAACAAGCAATCGCCGCGGGTGGCCATAACGGGGTGGGAAACCAAGACTGGCGCCGCGACCGCCCATTTCCGGTTCTGACGTCATCCAGTCTGAGTCAGTTCGTGGCCGATTGTTGTGACGGAGTCGCCGGAAAAGGGCTTTTCTGGAAAGATCGGAGGGGAGACGTTTCAGCGCAACACGCAAACGGGCGACAACAACCAATAACAAAATACACAAAACAAGCGAAAGAAAAAATCTGCCTTCTTTAACTTCCACCGTAAGTGTCCCAACGGCTTAAGCGGGAAACTTTCCGAGCCAAGAGAGAAGAGTGTGTGAGGAGGGCGGCCTGCTCCTAACTGTGAGACTCGGAAACTTTGCGAGCGGGAGAGACTGGTCGAGCAGGCCGCGGGCAACACAACAGGTTTCAGGAGGCCCCTTCATCCACCGACCTCTCCGCCCCGCTCGAGAGCATTTCGCTGTTAAATTTCCCGTTCGCCTCTTTTATTTTCCGGTGGAGGAGAAAAAGGAAACAGAAAGACCCTGGTTATAAATGCGGTTCGGATCCAAAATGATGCCTGTAAGTTTTTTTTTCTTTCCCGAAAGTTATATGTTTAAGAAATCGGAAGAGTTGTGAAGTAAGAATCATAGTCTGTTTCTCCCCCAGTCGATTATTCTTTCAATTTTCCAGGTGATTTCGAAGTAACTAGACCAAACTGATTTTTTTTTAAAGATGCAACTTCTAGGTTGCTGCGTACAGTGTGTCGCCATTGAAACTTCAGTTTTAATGTTACCGTCACGATCAGTAGGGGAAAAAATTAACTTGCAAATGAATCTGATATAACAAGGTGTAGAGCTGGATGAACACAGCAGGCCAAGCAGCATCAGAGGAGCTCCAGCATCGGCAGTTCCTACTATCTCTTGCAAATGACTCTATTCGTTTTCAATTTTAAGTTCCTGTTCTTCGCCTCCCCATCCACACCAACCTATCATGAATTATTGAAATAATGCGACTTCTAAGTGAACCTACAAGCATTTTTAAGACTTTGGGAGCATGAAGCCAGTCTACTAAGCAAATATAGTTTTAAATATGGTTCTGATTGTACCTGTGTCAGTTCATACTTCAAAGTGCTGTAATTTCTGAATGAAAACGTGTGTATTATCAATCTCTAAATAATTTGGTTTTCCTTCATTATAAACCATTTATAAGAGAATTTTTAAAAAAGCATTAAGACATTGAATTATTAATAATATTATTATTATTATTATTATTATTATTATTGTTTGTTACCATCAGCACCTTATTTTGTCGATTAATATTATGTTTAAATCTTGTAATAATATCTAGGCTCTTAGCCTGAAGGAATTCGTTTAATTGTAAGGGTGTTCAGTTTCTCTTGGCTGAAATGGTCAGAACCCAAGATTTATAAATTACTGAGAAGTTAGTACCCGTGTCCTAAATTTATGTTAACTGGTCAAAATAACATGGTGACAAACTTGCAGCAAAGAATGCGAAGCAGCTTTCTGAGGATTAACCTATGACTTGACTACATTTAGTCTAACTCTCTGAAGGAAGGTATTTTTATCAACATTCTTTATGACTGCACTTGCAAAGATTTAACCTAGGATGTGTTTACATAGAAAAGAAATCTTCAATCAAAGATAACTTGTCAGACACAGATTTCAACATAACTCCAGAGCTGGGACCCAAAGTGACTGTGAAGTGAGATGTACAAGATTTCCCAGAAAGGTTGCTTGGGTTGGATACCATGGATTATAAATTTGTCGGAGTGATAAACCTAATTTAGTGGGTGGGGGTCAGTTGGATAACTTGGACACCATGTAAATCTAGTTTAACTTGATGTAAATATTGAGAGTAGAGATTCCTCACTTTCTGCTGTTGTAGTAATATCAGGGTCTGACTGTTGGGGGAGGGGGAAGAGAGAGAGCTCCATTTATTTGTTTTGATTTCACTTGTTATACGTGCAATATAGAATATTTTATGACAATTGAGATGATCCATGGAACAAACTGAATTTTAAGTACACAGGGCAACTGGAATTAACTCGCTTGCGCACACATTTGTGGAGTCTGCTTGGATTCATTGTGCTGAGTTCTCTGATTTCAGAAATTCAGCTTAACACATCCAGAAAAAATGTTGTTTTTTGTAACTTTTCTGACCTCGCTATTTACATTAAGGAAAATGGAAGCTGAAGCATAGCTATTGTACGTTTCTGAAACTCTTCATCTTGCACTCATCATCAACTGTAAGAATGCAACACTGCAGTCAGAGTTGACTTGTCAACTAATTTACTCTATTTTTTCTGTTGTGATATAAATTGTTGTAATTATTTGAAATTTGGCAATCTTGGGTTTGTCCTGATCAGTGCAAGATGAAATGTTCAACAATATGTCCCTCTTTTCAGCAGTATTCAAGTTCTGTCCCACCAAGTGACCATCAAAGTTGCCTGTTTATAGATCAAGAAATATTCTTCACCAGTACCATCCAGTAATGCGGTTGAGTTATACTATTGAAACCAGATTTTTAAAGCAAAGCTAATGGCATTTAAAAAAAGGAGGCTTTTAGTTTTATTACCAAAAATAGGAATTCAAATAATGGTAAGATTGCTTTCAAAATGTCAAATTTGAGAGATGGAAGACTAAATTATGTGCCAACATAAATAAAACTTCCACTCATTTTGGTTTCAATTCAAGAATATTGTGAATAAAGAAGTGGCTTTTGCTTGCATAATTCAGTCTGGTTTTTTTTAACTGCTTAAGTTTTTGATGCTTCAGTTTAATATTTCTGCGAGCTGTCATCCTAGCTGCAAGTCACTTCGATATTTTTAGTGAGGAGGATTCTGTTCTGTTTCTATCCCAAGTGCAGCAACTGTTGTTTCATGACATGTGGAAAATCCACATGAATTGATCATTTAAGTCTGAATTAGAATGCATTTGTCCCATATTACATGAACTCAGGATTTTGTTTTTATTCCAGTGCATGTTGCAGGGAACAAAGTGTATTCAAGTTTTTTTGATCATGTTGTCTGCCTTAAAATTAAATGGGATAACCAGTTTGTTTGTTTTTTTTGTAACTAAAATGTTGACACTGCAGAGTTGTTAAGTTTCTGGATTTTCTGTATCCTGTGAAATAGTTCAAGTTGGTTTTAATCCACTGTTTGGGTTTTTCATCTGCAAAGTTAGCGTCAATGATTACTGATTTGAAATTGTGTAAGTAAACTTAAATTAATGACTTCAATTCCAGACATTTATTGGAAAACTATATTAACTGAAAATCTTTAAAATACTTTTATGGTTGAATCTGGACATTTATTTAAAAAAAAATAGTTCTGAGGAGGGCTATTATTTATTCTGATCATTGTATTTTCTCCAGATTCTTTCCTGGAACTTAATCAGATTTTTACAAGCAATCTCTACTGTTCATTGATGTTCCCTATTTGGCATCAAATGAGCAAACATACTTGTATCCAACAAGAATTACAATTATTGTCAATTGACTTACTGTTTGCTCCTCCTATCAAGTGCTGATGTGATGCAGTTCATTATCAACTTTTTGAGTGACTGGACATCATTGTGTTTGGGCAAACCTGCTGAGCTGTTAGCCTAATGGGTGTTTGAAGGTAACTTGTCAGGAGAACTGTACGCCAAATAGAATGAGCTTCATTGTATCAGTATCATAGTAATATGTTTGAAACATACTCTGATCATGTAAAGTCTCTTGTAAAGTAACAGCTAGATCGCCAGTTTCGTAGCTAAGATCTAAATCTCAACTGGTGAGGGAAAATTTAGTGCAATAACTGCAACACCTTGAATAATAGCATGGTAACAGCACACAGAGGCCATTCAGCCTCCAGTCACCTCTCTGCAGGTGCAACTCGCCCAGATGGCACTGCCTTGCCTTTTTCCCAAAGGTCTGCATTTTTTCCTTCTGAGATAATTATTCAGTTATCTTTTGAAGATGTCAGTTGTCTTCCATCACACTGAGGCAGTTCATTCCAGGTCCTAACCACCCACTCAAAAAGATATTTTTCTCATATCATCATTGCTGCTTTTGCAAATAACCTTATATTGCTGTCCTTCTGATTCTTGATCATTATACCAACAGAAAGTTTGTCTACTCTGTCCAGACCCCTCATGATTTTGAGCACTTCTACCAAATCTCTTTAATATTCAATTCTCAGAAGACATTCTTGTGAAGCCCGCATAGCACACTGTCAGGACAAAGCATTACTGTTTTTTTAGTGATTTTAATTGAGCACTCAGGAGTAGTGTGCTATCATAGTATTCTGTGACACCGCCCAAGCCTCAACTCATAAGTACATCAACATGTCACTAATGTCCTGAGGAAGGGGGAATTGTCCTTAAAAAATATACGGTTTGCTCATGTCCATTAGAGAAGAAAGTCTCCTGTACTTGCCAGATGTGTCCAACTTGAGACTCCAGACCAATTGGAACATGGTTTGCTTATAACTGCCCTCTGAAATGATCCAGCAAGCCATTCAGTTGGATCAAACAGCTAAAAGGTCCACACAGGAATGAAAATGGGTGGATTACTTGGTGTCAATTTAGGCACTTGAAATGACAACTGCACATTCAGCCCTCTCAGTCCTCTGAAGTCCTGTTTATTAACAGTGTGGAGGTTGCAACAAAATTGGTAGTCCTGTAGGTGAGATTGGGATGTCTGCTTGGCTAGTATGCGTTGGACCAAAGAGCCCATTCCCGTGTGTGTTTGACACTATGAATGGCTGTATTGGGAGTCATAATCATACTCGTGAAATTGAACTTAACACACAGTGTCCAAGATACCATCATCAGTGGTGGCAGTAAAATGGTATTCAGTTTGTAGAGAGGAAAGGCTGAAAAAAAACGTCTGCTGATTACCACATACCCAATCACCCAAAACTGATGAATCAATACTCCATTTTGAATGCTACTTGGAGGAGGCAGTGAGGGTGCCTCATGCACAGAATGTACTCTGGATGTCACCCACCAATGCTCTTGGCAGCTCCACTGCTGACCAAGCTAGTTGCGCCACTCAAGCTAGTTGACCTTCCCTCCGTCGTAAGGTCACAAGTGGAAATGTTTGCCAATAATTGCACCGTTTGTGACTTCTCATGTACTGAAGCAGTCCATATTCAAATGTAATAAGATCTGATCAATATCCAGGTGTGAGCTGACATTTGTGCAACATGAATGCCACTTAACGACCATCTCCAGTAGGAGGCAAATTCACCACTGCTCCTTGATATTTGATGGTGTTACTATCACTGAATCTCCCATTATCAACATGGTTGGGGTTACCATTGACCAGAACCTCAACAGGGCTCACCATGTAAACACAGCAATTCAGAGGCTAGGAATACTGTAGCGAGTAACTCATCTCCTTAGTTTTCAGACCCTGTCCACCATCTGCAAAGCACAAGTCAGGAGTGTGATATAATACTCCCCACTTGCCTGGATGGCTGCAACTCCAGCAACACTCGAGCGCAAAGCTGCTCCCTTGATTGGCATAACATCCACCTTTGAATTAACAACCTGTCATGTTGCAAGGTACTACTA